CTACTGCTACTGCTACTGCTACTGCTACTGCTACTATGCCTAGCTGTCATCCAGCACGGCGAGGGGATTGCGCCGATTGGCGGGGTTGTTTGATCTGCAGACCACCAGTATCTGTGCGAATTAGCCCTCCAGTATCCGTGCGAGCCAGCCCACCAGCATCTAGCTGCGCGAATCAGCGGAATCGCCGTGAAGGTGCAGAAGAAGACCAGTGTCCGCGACAGAGCTTCCGCCTTTGCTCATTAGGTTGGCTGTCGGTACATATAAGGGCCATGCATACTGGCACTTGTGGGATCAGAAGAGCCGGAGACACGGAATCCTCTGCCAGCGTTGGAAATCGGCGGGTGAGCATCAAGGCGGAGTCAAGTACCACCGTACCCACCGTAGTCGACACAAGCCCTAGCGGAGGATCGAGTCCAGTCAGGCCATGTGTGGAGTCCTGCCACGGGTATTAGCAAACCCGTGCTGTCTGTAGCTGTGGGCAACTTAGACCATAGAGATTCTATGATATAACCTAGCGAAGTTATGCTGTCTGTTGCTCCGTGTCCAAACACGGTATCGATGGATCAATCGTGGTCACCGTGGTATGTTTACGCGTATGTTTACATGCATTTCTCCCCTATGCTGAAGCTAGCATGTGTTTAGGTTCAAGGCTGGTGCGCAAGGGAATAGTTATTTTCCCGATGTGCTTGGCAAATTCTGTCTATTGCCAGTACTCTCGTAGATACAGACGGCCTCATCTGCGCACATAACAGCTGATCACACTTACATTGCTCTACGCGGACAGATAATTGCAGGTAGTTCTGGCGGCTCATTTATGGATCTGTGTCGTACGAATAACGCAGGGCGACTCGGCGAACAGACGACGATGTAGGCGGAATCACGGAGGAGGAGTCACGCCCTCCGTCCGTAAAATGTGGCCACTCGCATTTTGGTAGCTGAGGGAGTATTCCAGCACCACTGCAATTGTTTAGAGAAGTGGCGACCCCTTTCCGCGCTAGATTGCATGTTCGTGCAGAGCCACTCGAGAAGTCATGTTCATTACATGGTTCGATGTACACGATGTCACGATTGTCCAGAAGGGTATAGATACACAGGAAGGATAATTTATTCTGTCTTTGTCACGGAGATGAGTGACCCTTAGTGGTGTAGAAAAACAATATCGTGAATTTTACAGGGTTTGTTTACGAGTAAAATAGCGCGCGTAATACTGACGTGTGGTGTGTAAATTAATTTATGCGCCGAATTTACTCAACTAAACTTAGCTGTTTTCTGCGACCAGGCCGCAGATATGAATGTGTACTCACCGTTATGTGCGAGGATTGTTGCAGATGCGACAGTCTACGAGGCAGCACGTTGTATATATTGCGGATTTCATTGTGTAACGCATATAATTACGAGGTAAAAGATATACAGCGAGATTGCAAAATTTATGTTGTGAGTGATCGCTGGTCTATTGTTTCACTAATTTGAGTTTCTATTTTATCGGTCGTGTTGTATTATCAATCGTGGTTTTCGCGTGCGGTTGCACGACTCGTTTGTTACGCTTTGTCGCCAGACAGGTGCGCGAGCTGTCCGCAACAGCCTGGGACGCCGCGACCAAAATACGTTAAATAAGCGCCCTGATAAGACTTATGCGGCCAAAAAGCCTAAGGAAAGGGAGGTGGGTGTAGAGTGAATTTGGGTCTTCTTTATATTTGGGGGTATGTAATAAGTAGATACTACTACTGGTGTGGCGTCGTAAAGGCTTGGACGCAACCTTGACGGGGAATGCAGCTCAGCTCGATCAATTCTCACGTGATTCACAACAAGTCATGCCTTGAGCTCCGTCGTCGGATCACGTGCACGAGTTTGCGTGTGCCCTCTATACTCACGTATATACCACACGGGCTAATCGGGTATTACATAAGGTGGCCATAGTGACTGGTTGTCAAGCACATCGAGCGACAGCGACCGAGTCACCTGTCAAGAGCCACCTGCACGCTGCGCCGCTGCACACCAGAGTCGATAGTTAGCACACAGGACTGGAGGAAGTAGTCAAGGGCAGATACGCCAAATAAGGATGAGCGGCCTAAACTTTGGTGAAGAGGCTGGAAACGAGGTAAATTATCAGTCTAATGATACGTTGGGAGAAGTTCCACTGGTATGATTCCAGCTGACTGTTTTTGCGTAAGTGTGGCGTGCCATACTTGGAAAATCCAAAATGAAGCGCCAGCAAAAATGGGATTTTTCTGAAATATCATGAACTCCGCAGACCACCGCCAGAGACATAATGATCGGTGGCTATACCCACACTTTTCGATAGTGAGAAACCCGAATAATCACACTTAGAAAAACATAAGGAAGCGGCCATATGGATGCAATCATCGGCCCAGAGGGCCAGTGAAATTTGTTTATTTGGAGATGAATAACTAGACCTCCAAGACGCGAAAGAAGACATAATTTGGTGTCTAATAACGCCAACATTTCGGATAGTGATGAATCCCAGTTTATGACACTTCGAAAAGGCAAGATGCAGCTTATCTTGGATTCAAGAATGGCCGCACAATGAAATGGGTATATTGTTTGAATGAACTATAATGTCTCAATACGTAGAGGCATAATTTGTGTCTAACCCACATTTTCATGACCCATAAGGTCGCCTCCTAAGTGTGGAACATCTTGTAGCGAACAGGGCCA